AGCCATGTGTAACTCAGACGTTAGCTGGGATTCCTGTAAGTTTTGAGATCTGAATTAAATTGCCCCATGATGAAGACTGGAAGTCTTAAGCCTTCCTCTGAGTTTCTGCTACACCTCAAATGGTATCCTGTCTTCCTGACCTCAGTCCTCTGTGTTCTGGCTTCATTGAATCCTGCCAGTGTCCTGTTCTATATGGGAACCTCATCCCCTTGTCCAGTTTCAAACTCAAGCAATTGCCACGGAGTTGATTAGACTTTGAGGGAAGGTTTTGGTTGGTCTCGGTGTATGATGTAGCTTTCTGTCCTCCCACTGGGTCCCTCTCTTCTCCCTGTCTGTCTTTTTCTGCCCTTACCTACCTCCTGAACTGCCCTCAGAGGCTCCACGTTCTTCCTTCTATTTTACATTCCCCTTCCTCCTCTAAGCCTTGGCGCCAGCTAACCCTTAGTTCTTAGTTGTAGTAGGGAGAGGTGGGGGCTTACTTCTGCCCAAGCACTTAGCTAAGTTTTATTTCTATCTCAAGTCTCTCATTTCCTTGACATGAATTGTCATGTTAGCTGTTAAGATGAAAACATTTCCTCCATGTTGAAACATTTGCTCCATGTTGAGATGCATGATAATGATATATATCATATGAATATGTATATATGTATATGTTCAGAATACAAATACCTAGATGAGGAAAATCCCAAATAGAAAAATAGAACACGCTCTCTCTCTCCCCACCCCAACACACATGGAAAGGAAATACACCAAAATGTTAACACGGTGGGATTACGGGTGGTTTTGTTTGTCTTCATCCTTTATTGTGTGGGATTTTAACATTTTTACATGTATTAATTTGTAATATAAGAGGCTATAAAAGATACCTAAGATGTAACAGAGAAGGTGCAGTGAAGTATCCAAAAGCCAGCCTGCTGTCATGGAGAGTGCACGGCCTCAGGAGACAGGGGAGGGGAAACCTGGTTCTGGTCTAATCACTGTGACTTGGGGATCGTTTCTCCACTCCTCACTGCTGGGGACAGAGACCTGACCATTGTATTTGACAGCTGGTGGTCCTGGTGATTTTCAAAGCACTGTTTCAATATAGTGGTGGGAACAATTCTGATTTCCATGTGGGTTTATATATAGTCTGCAAGAAATCGTTGACTTATAGTCTTGGAGAGCAGTAAGTCCCTTCAAATCCTTGAGAAGTGGAAAATCTTTTTCTTGATTTTTTTTCTGGACATGAAAATCATATAGTGTGGTCCCCGGAGTGAGAGGTAGGTGGGGCCAAACGGCCTCATTGTGGGTTTTGGAATGCATTATCATTTTTCCTCTGGGGAAGGCACATTATAACTTCCCTTTGCTGTAGCTGATATTTAATGTTTTTCTTTTTTTTCCTGTCATTGTTGAAGGTGATATTATTTATTACCTGGGATCAGGTCCATAGAGTTGTTTCTGCAAAATTAGACAAGGCTTTTGAAACATGCCCTCCTCTGGTAACTCCTCTTGCCACCAGGGGGACCTATTGTCAACATAGCTGGACAGGAATAAGGGCATCTTTGTGCTGTTGAGAACACAAGGTGTGAATCCAGACAGATATGGACTGTATTCCTAGAGTACCACTTGCTAGCTCACTCCCTTGGGCAAGGGCTTCATCTCCGGAGCCTCAGTTTCCTCATCTGTAAATGGAGGTGACGAGGCCTACCTCATTGTTTAGTTGATAGGATGAAATGGGACAGCATATGTACCTGAAGGCACCCTGCATCCATAAATGCCAGTGCTTCCTCCCTGTGGAACAGAGCTCTTCCAAACATGCCCTTGGGGTTAGATTCGTGATCTTGGCCCCCCAGGCAGCACCAGCCAACTGGTCCAGTTGATCACTAAGCCATCCATTGAATCACATGTATTTCCTATTTTGAGGCATTTTTTCATGATATTTTATTTATTAGGCAGCTTATCTGCAACTTAAGGTATAGCAGACTTTCCTGAATTGGGTAAAAACCACTTATTGCACTGTTGTTTTCCCACTCTGATGCAGAAGAGAAGCTGACCATATGCCACGGTGTCAACTATGCAAATAGGCCCCTGATCAGCCAATGTGACACACATCAGGTTGTACGGGAACATCCACAGGGGATGTTGGGAGAAGATGCCATCAGGAGAAGCATTTCGTGTATTTCCAATTTTGACTTTCCCTTTGCCCCCTGTATCACAAAATTTAGGCCCTAAAGATAAACTATCTTGTTATGCAGGGGGCTAGAAAAAGGGTGTTAAAGATATCCCAACTTTTGACCTTCATGTAGGTGACAAGAGTCCCAAAGTGAGCAGGCTTCATTCTCTGATGCAATAGCAGAGACCCAGGGACAACACTGCTGCAAAATATGAGCTGGAGAACCCAGCAGGTGGCGCTGCCGCTCCACGTGTCTCTTCAGAGGCCCCCAAAATGGCTTGGAGAAGAAAGTTCCGTTTCAAACGACCAAGTGTTTTAATGATACCCATGCAAGCGTCTGCTAAGAAGAGTAGCCCCTTATCGTGTCAGTCAGAAGTAAGCTCCTCTGGAAGGGGCTCAGCTCATTTGACCTTGGAAACCAAAGTCTTAGCTCCACCAAAGAGAACGGAAATCAGAGGCAGATTTGCAAAGAACAGAGCTTTTGATTCCCCCATAGAGAAATAAGGTTAGTGGTCTGGAGACAGCAAGCAAAAAACAGCACAACTAAAGATATTAGCCTTGGAGTGCCTTGGGGCTAATGTGGTTGATAAGAACCACAAAACCCGACTACATGCTAATTTGGTTGGTTAACTTATTACATCCTTGAGAGAATATTTTTTTTCCTCCTGGACTGGATGAAGAATTCCCCAGAGCAACAGAGGTTTTTGTATCAGGAGATTAAGTAGCATAGAAAATTACAGCCCTGCATTTGTGCTCTTTGAGTTAAGGCAGTGTCAGCATTCCTATTTTAATTCGTTATTTTCAAGTGTGTGAGTTTGCCTGGGACATACAGATTCAGCCTGGGTAACACCTCAGTGCAGGACACATGTGGTATGGGCGTGACCCATGCAGACCAGCAGAGTCACTGCAGGGGAGATGGGTTATTGGAGTTGACTCACTCTCACTCTTCAACAAAAAATCACCAGAGAAGTAAGTTAAAGGTCCACTGTAGAAATCTGTAATGAGTTAGAAAAAATTGTGGCAAGGAGATTTGTAGTGCAAAGATGTAGTACTCGTGCGTGACAACAGAACTGAAGAAACACACTCTTATTAGCTTTTAATGATTACTTGGGCCAATGGTCTGTGAACTGAGATAGATTTCCATGAGACTGGAATGGCTCTAGAGGGTGTCTGGGTAATAAATACAATTTTAAAAATTGAATAGCACACTGCAATGAGCATTGCTTTGGAAGGCCAGTTGGCTGGATTATGTGATAACATAGCCAAAATGTCTAACTATATATGTGTATGTATGTTGCATGTCATATTCTCAGTGTGTGCTCATGGCAACCTTAAGAGAGGAAAGGGTATAAACACTTGCAGAGGTTTTATTATGGTCCAGACTCTATTCCATATGTTAGCTTATTTATTCCCACGATGACTCCCATAATAATCTTTGTAAAAAAATAGGATTTATTATTCCCATTTTAGAGATGAGAAAACTGAGGCTTCTCAAGGTGAAGCAACTTTCCTTGGGTATTCAGTTGGTGGGTGCCTGGAATTTAATCAGGATTATCTGGTCTGAGGCCCCATGATCTTTCCTTAGAAGATATTTCATTCCCTTTCAATTTAGATTTGCTTTTGACAAGGTGGCTTAATCTCAATTTCCTCATCTACAGTAGAAGGGTCATGTTCTCAGCCTCTCAGGGTGGTTGTGAAAATGACTTAGCCCAGTGTCTAACACACAGAAACCACTCCACCTATGTTCCCCATCACTGCTACTGTTACATTTGAGAGAAACAGAAACAAGGCCTTGGTAAACGGTGTGCTTTGATTGCAACTAGACCCTTCAGCTTTTAAGGGAATTGTGCCACAGAAGTGTTCGTTCCCTCAATTTTCTCAGATTCATGAGGTGCAAGAATAGAGTGCAGACATCGATTTTCCAGCCAATAAGTAGACAAAGACCAAGCAAGGAAAACAGGCATGGAAAATTGCATGTCGATACACAGAGAAACAAGGTGCAGGCAGTAATTGAGTGGAACCGGAAGATGTCATGTGTGTGATTATTGGTTGCCCTCTGGGTACCAGTACTGCCCTGGTCTTCATGGTCTTTGAATGGACCAGAAGGGATTGTGGAGCTAGGACACCTTCATCTCAAATCAGTAGGGTCCATTCTTAAATGGACGATTATACGCATGTGATGAAGTGGTTTCAGAGAAACAAAGATGCTACCAAGCCTTTTGATGGAAGTCAGCATATGTAATGGTGGTCCAGCCTTCCACAGGGCTCACCTGCCTCTCGTGTGGGTCATGATGGCAGGAGGTCCTTCAGGCTCTGCACTGTAGAGGCCACAAAGTACCTTGGGCACAGAGTCTCCAACTGGGGGGATTCTTTGTCCCCAAAGCATCTTTGTCGGGAAGGAGGAAGCATTTGGTGGGGAAAGGGGGGAATAGAACCAGAGATGAGGAGAAAGAAAAGGGCAGGGTAGGAATATGGATGAGCGAGGAGAGAACTGTGTGCTCCAAACTGGAGACAGAGAATGAAAATTACTCAAAGAAGAACCTGCCTAGGTCTTATGTGTTGGGCCAGTCATGAATGAGGATTTCCTGCACGGTGATTTCAAACATGCACATACTACGTGCGCACACACACAGCACGTGAGTTCTAGCAAGAGAGAGCTTTGAGAAAGGAACTATATGGCCTGACAATATGCTTCTGCCTTCATTCGGCAAAGAACACTACCACAATGCGTATTTCACTTTTCCATATCAGGCGTGAGGAAGCTGACGCCCAGCCTTAGGTCACATGGTGAGTTAGAGGTAGAGCAAAGGTTTCAGCTGGCCCCTAAACTTCTGCTCTTTCTAGCTAGCTCAATGACAGGTGCCGCTTCCATTGTGCTGTGTGGAGTTGATGGTCGCACCTTTCTCTGAGGCTGGCTATGCGAATACAAATGGACAAGATCACGTGTGTATATAAAGCTCCTGGGACACGGACTTGTACCTGATAGGTGCTCAAGAAATGTTAGTTTATCCTCACTTCCTCATTAAGCAGTCAGAACACATGTAGCCCAGTGCCTCCCAGTCAGTCACTAAGATGGGCTTGTTTCAAACTCTTGTACTTGGGGAGAAAATGGTTTTTTGTTTTTTGTTTTTTAATAGGAGAAAAACTTTAATTTGACAAAATAGCCTCTAAGAGACCTGGGAGGTTGCTAAGAATCAAGTTCTCAGTTTCATTGTGTATAAAAACAATACAAGCTGCTGGACGAAGCAGGGTTATCAATTACAGGTGACTGTCAGGAGTTGCGTTTACTGGGAGGCAATGTAGCAGGAGAGCAAAATTGAAACACAGTGTGAACTGCGTGCTCCTTAATGGCTCCGGCCCTCTGGATGCAGGCAGATGCGTGGGATGTGGGCTTCTTTCACCACGTTATTCCACCTCCTAAGGGATTTCAGTTCATCTCCAGAGCTCATCTACATACCACACAGGTTGTCCTGGTAGAGAGTGTGTCTCAAAGCAGACCACGGTAAGATTTGGCATAAGGAATCAGCTCCTGTTGAATGCAAAGGAAACAGCGAAGTCAAATAGAGAACTATGCAAATTAACACCATCTGGTTAATAAGGCCACTGTTGACAGAGTTTAAAATTGCTTCCGCAATTAGAGAGTCCTAGGAAATCTGTATGTTCAGGTCTGAATGAGGACACAACAAATAGTGATGAGACTTTGTTTCTCTAAAATAAGAGAAGGGGGGCTTTACATCACACGGTTAAAGGGGAAGGAGTGGTGTGAGATAACCTGACCCAAGAGGATGCCCCTTCCGGCATCGCTGGCTGCAACCTGTTTGTGGAGTCGCCAGGTGACACCACTGCAATCCCCTCGGATTCATCCAAGCCCTGGCACATTCCCATATATATATATATTTTTTTTTCCCAGGGCTCTATGCCTTCCACTGAATAAACACTTGTTGTTCTGTGGTCCCTGCAGCTGCATTTTACAGAGTAGAAAATCGAGGCACAGAAAAATCAAGAGTCACAGCCAGTGAGTGGGAGAGTCTGCATGAGACATGCTTCGCTGCTCCGCCTCCAGGGAAGGTGCTCACAGGCTCTAAATTTTGGAACCGGGGTTAGTGGCACCCTTTGTTCTGTAACCACTAGTGACTCCTGCAGGGTGGCCAGGACGACCTGAGTAGTATCTCATCACAGACGTGGCTGGGGCTGGCCGACCTTCCTCTCGCCTCACTCCTGACAGTGTCTCTTAATAAAGAGTTTAAGCGGACTTCCTACACTTTTGGAAATGAAGTGAGCCTCAAATCAGCAACTTCACAAGGAAGCGGAACTCCCCACACTACTGAAGCCCAGCCTGGAATGTCCTTCCTTGGCTCCCTCGTGAGGTTGGCAGGCTGGGCTTCTTTGGACTCATCCTCCCCAGGCCCCCCCAGTGAGCATGTCACCTACGGCGATTTAGCATCCTCCTTCCTTAGCATCTTGGCCGTTTGTGACATGTCTTCGTGGGGTGGGGTGGGGGGTTCACATTCCTGGAAACTTTTTGAAACCAGCTGTTCCCTCCTCTCTCTGTGAGAAGTGGAAGACACTGCAATTCCTTTCCTCTGTGTGATGCCTCTTTATCCATCTTTTCTGTCTTACTCCTCTGTGCCTCACATCAGGACCTCTTAATTGGGGTTCACCCAGGAGCTTCAAAGGGTCCACAGACCCTCAGGAATTGCATGCGAATTTCTGTGTGCGCGTGTCCATGTATTAGGTGCATGTTTCTGAAAAGAGGGTCTGTGGCTTTAATTAGAGTCTCCCAGAGGTCTCATATCCTACCAGAAAGTTATGGCTTGCAGGGCTCTGTGAATTTCCCTTGCATGAGCAGGTGGTTGCTGGTATACATTGGGTTGTTTCCTAATATTTTGTCTCCATTGTATATTCTGTATTATATTTGAATTTTAGATTTCTATAACACAGTGGAATAAGGATGCCTGTTTGTTACTCCCTTATTAATTTTGGGCTCCAAAAATGTGGGAGAGTCTTGTGGAGACTATGTTTTTATTATTTTCTTGAAGTTGAGATTGCATATTGGTTACCCATGGGTCAACTCTGACCTGCAAACAGTGTTTTTTTAGATGATTATTATTTTTGTTAATTGGGGTCAACAGTCCGTTGGGGAACTTATACATTAAAATTAAGACTGTTGGCTTTTCTTAGACATTTGGAAGACCTACCAATGCAGGGTTCATACTCCTACACAAAAACAAACTGCAGAGCTGGAGTTTGTGCTCCAGCCAGCCAGCCAGCCTCTCCCTCCGCCTGCTCTCTCCCTGATTCCAAGATCACCCAAGTCTTATTTATTATTGCAGTGTATTTTTTTTCTTAGAGTAGAGAAAGACTTCTCTGTACCTACAGCCATCTCATTCATTTCCATGCCTCTTCCTATAGGCATTTAAATGTAGGATCCCTGTTTTAAAGTATAATGATGAAAATATGAGAATAATGGGAAGAGGGTGAGTTGCTATGGGAAAAGCTTGGTGTCCAGCCCAGACCTCCCTTCCCAGGTGGTCCCCAGCCCCTAGCGGCCCTCAGTGTTGGCTGCTAACAGGTCCTAGACCCCCTTCTCACTTCTGCCACCTTGCTGGGAAAGTGACTGCCCTTCCAGACCCATGTCCCTCCAGACACCCACCACCCCCCACAGCCCTTGGCTCTTAGCCAGTGCTTGGTTAACCCAGGATACAAAAGGTAAGAGGAACTTTGCTGGGCAGTTTTTGTTCCCAAGTTCCCGTGGGGCGAGGCTGGTATGAGGCTGGTCTTGGCTCAGCTGCTCTCCTGCGTCGTCTTGCTTCCCCACCCCTAAAAGCAGCCTCCAGCAGTGACTTGTGGGAGACTCCTGCCTGAGGCTTCTCCAGGAAGTCCAAACACATAAGGTGCTATCTGTGAAGAGGCCCCCTCTAGAAGCAGTTGTGAACCTGTGATGGTTTTGTGATGAGAGGAGGGCCAGAATTGAAACCAAATATTCTAAAATCCTTGCATTCCTTCTTTAACAGAATAACTCCTATTCCGGGGATGGCAAATACATGTCACTTCTCATCCCACCGCTTGAAGAGCGTTCCCTGCATAGAGTACCATGTTGGAAATGATTACGAGGTGACAGGTAGAGTAAAGGGGACAGGATGCTATGAGCAAAGGTAAGTTCTGTTGGAGCTCAGGATGGGAAGGGATGGCATGCACGATCTCTCTGTCCCTCTCATTTCTTCAGGGCTCAGCTTGGGTGTCCTTCTTTCAGCAAGCCTCCTCTGACCATGAGTTGAGAGTAGATGCCCTTTCTCTGAGCTTCTACAGCGACTTGTGATGATGATACTGTCACATTTCCCAAATTGCATTTTTAATCATTGTTGAGATATAATGGACGTACATACTTGTACAATCTGGTAAGTTTTGGCATATGAATAATCTGTAAAACCAACTCCACAATTACGTTAGTCAACATACCCATCTCTTCCAAAAGTTTCCTTATGCTCCGTGGTAATCTGTCCTGCCAGTCCCTCCCTGCCCCTTGCCCACCCCTGGCCTCACCAAGAGGCCACTGTTCTGGTTTTAGTCACTGTTGACTAGTTTGAATTTTTGAGAGTTTTATATAAATAGAATCATTCCCTATGGATTATTATTTTTAAAATTTGGCTTCTTTCACTCAGCATAATTTTTTTGAGATTCGTCAATGTCTTGTATGTTCATGGTTTGTTAACTTTTATTGCTGAGTAATATTCCATTGTATGGACATGCCACAATTTGTTTATCCATTCACCTGTTAATGGACATTTGTACTGTTTCTATTTTATTACAAATAAAGCTGCTGTGAACATTCACATACAAGTTAAAAGAATGGTAAGACAAGCCATGGATGTGAAGAAAATAATTGCAAAGCGTATATCTGAAAAAAAGACTGTTATCCAAAATATATAAAGAACTCTTTTTTTTTAACATTTTTTATTGATTCATAATCATTTTACAGTGTTGTGTCAAATTCCAGTGTTCAGCACAATTTTTCAGTCATTCATGGACATATACACACTCATTGTCACATTTTTTTCTCTGTGATTTATCATAACATTTTGTGTATATTTCTCTGTGCTATACAGTGTAATCTTGTTTATCTATTCTACAATTTTGAAACCCCAGTCTATCCCTTCCCACCCTCTACCCCGCCCCCCCCCCCCCGGTAACCACAAGTCTGTATTCTTTGTCCATGTGTCTATTTCTGTCCTGTATTTATGCTTTGTTTTTGTTTGTTTGTTTGTTTTTGTTTTTAGTATTCCACATATGAGCGATCTCATATGGTATTTTTTTTCTCTTTCTGG